GTAGTTATCGGACAGGTAATCTTGGATGTTGCTTTCTGAGAACTCCGCCGCGGAGAGGGTGCCTGTTTCCTCTAGGATGTAGAGGACAGCGACACGGGCGAAGTCAAGGACTTCTGTTGTGACGGTTGTCGAGTTGGAGGATGAAGAATTAGTTGTAGTCGTACTCGAACTAGAGGTGGAAGTTTGCGTGGCTGAGGACTCGTGGTTTGTCTTGGTTGCGGTCGCGGTTGCAGTTGCGGTTCCAGTGCTGCTTGGTGGATCGTCATCGAAGACGATACCGTGCGCTGTAGCGACAGAGTCGCGGGCTGCAAGAGCTTGCGTGGGAGTACGTTCTGATAAAGCCGAGCTGGGAGAGTGCTCGACTTTGGCGAGCAGGTGACTGGAGATTGAGGGCTCCTCGAGGGACGAGTCAGACAGAGCACGGCGGGCTTTGCTGCTGCTTGTTGATACGCTGGAGAACGAAACAAGGGTGTTTTCCGTCGTGCAGGACACATTGTTCTGGCTGAATAGGGCCATGATCGTCACAGCATCAAGAGGGATGCTGTAGTTTTGCTGCGCGTACTCAAACAGGCGAGGAAGCTCGCTGCCCATGGTGGCGTTCTTATCATCGACTTCAGTGGTGACACAGCTGGCATCGCCAGAAATTGTACAGCGAGATCCGGTATAGCCGTTTGCACACACGCAGGAGCAAATACTACCGCTTGAGACACTGACGCCGCCATTTTCACATGGGTTAGTTGTTGCGCAGCTCGTACCACTCGACTTATGGCGCACCACGAGCAGACCAACGGGGATGAGAATGGCGGCCAAGATGACAATGATGATAACGACGCAAATAAGTGCAAACAGCCACGGGGGTAGTCCGCAGCATCGGCGTGGTTGTTTCGGTGCGGCTTTTTCTTGATCACCATCTGCCCGTGGTGGTTCGTTGGAGTGAATCTGATGCAGTGTGGACCTCCTGAAGAAGAAAGGCCAAGACGAGTGACCTCCCTCAGGAGTTGCAGCCGGCGGGGGGAACGACGCCAAGATGCTCTTAATTGATCCTGACTTGCGTTTGGCGTCATCTATAAACACTGGTTAGCCTTTGTCTGACAAATGGCACTTATGGCCAAACTTACATTGGAGCCTGGAACCACCTCCGCCATTCAATAGATCATTTCGACTCGCAGTCCGGCCATGTTCTAGATTCGATGCAAGTCTTGTCGCACGTCGAATGAGGTCAGGCAAACTCGTAAGGCTCCCTCGAGCCTCTGCGTCACGAACAGCACTCATGTTGAGACGCGGAGGCCGGCGGCCACCTGGGCGTTTGTCGCTCATTGTTGGCGCAGCCCTGGGAAGAGCTCCGATCTCCTTCTCCAAACCCCCATTGTCAACGTACGGACGAGCTAAGGCAGGATGTTGAGTGCTGACATCCAAGACGATGGGTGCTTTTTCCAGGTTGAAGTGCGCAGACCCTGTTGAGCTGGACGAAACAGAATCTCTCCGATCGGGCACTATAGAAATTTCTTTCAGGATAAACTCCGTGCCCGTAGTCCCGGACGTAGTCGGTCTAGCAGACACTGGGGTCCTCTCTGAGGGCGGTACTGGCGAGCTAGCATTGGATTTTTGAATCGTGCGTAAGGAAGGTTTTCCTCTGGTCCCGACGCTGGCTTGCCTGAGGAGCGTAGCCGTAGCTACTCCGGCTTGGTGAGTAGAATGTCTAGAGGCATCATCGTCGGATTCGCCGTCCAGATACGTGCCCAAGATTTCCGATTCTGCTTGTCCTGAATACCAGCTAGGTGGATATGGCTGGGCAGAGCCGTAGTGATCTTGCGAAATGGTTGGGCTATCCGGTAATTCCTCCGGAATAGGCGAAACAGACGAGGCGCGCTGTCGTGCCGCAGGCACTGGAGGAGCAAGGCTAGCGGTCTTCTTTGGCGCGCCCCCGGGCGCAACACGCTGCTGTGGGGGAAGCGGATGAGGAACTGAGGGAAGTTCAGTGATCGACGAGACGGTGGAAATACCTGACTGTCGAAAGAGGTCGTCTGTGGCGACGGAAACGCGAGGTGTTGAACCTGCAACACTGTCTGGGCTAGGCGGCCGAGGAATGGGGATTCTGATGGCAGGACGCGGGCCTGGCGGGATGGGGAACGGCTGCGAAAAGGAGGGAACTGGACGTTTGATGTTCAACGGGCTAGGTGCTGGTGGGACATCGGACATGCTTCTCTCCGAGTAGACCGAAGGGGACGGGCAATCCGGACGGGGTGGGCGCACAGGCGGAGGCCCTTTTGGAACGACCAAGGTTGCGTGAGGGTTAGCCAGATTCGGCGGCAGAGGGGCGTTGTCGGGCAGAGGCCATTGTGTCATATGGGCTGGATTAATGCGGAATGAGGGCGCTGGTTCCTCTGGCGCTCTCTCAGGACGCTTTCCTGCCTGAAGCATCTCCCGCGCTCTTTTGACTGATCCTTTTCGCGCAACGTCCCCATCTGGCTGGGGCCCAGAGCCTGCGCTTTCAGCTTGGGGAGCCATGTGATATCAGTGCTAGATTGTAGAGCTTCTAGCAGTCATAGGAAACTTTTGCACAATACGGAAGTAAGACCGGCCAGCGCATAGGATGGAAGTCGATGTAAGTGTTAGTAGTGGAGGTATCTTTCTTCAACACCGGAGAGCAGGTCGATGCGCGAAATCCAGCTCGACTGGGTATGAGACGAAAGTCAAAAGCAGATGCAGGAAAATAGCGAAACAAGTCCGAAATCATCAATTGTTTAGAACTGTCGGACGCTGTGCAACAGTCTAAGCTTGAAGCAATGGGCTCAGAACTCAATCAAATGAAAGTGGTCGACAACAAGAGTCGCAATGGCACTCAATGCCTCTGGAGGGAATGAGTAAGTCGATGCTACAATCTCAGACATCATAGAAAGCCAGATCAGACGCTTGCATACCGCACAGAAAGAATAAAATAAGGTCTTTTGTTCAAAAGAAGAATGAAGGAAAGTTGACCCAGGTCAGAGAAGTATAATATCAGACCCCCAAGGCTCAGCGAAAGCTTTGGCTGTCCGTGAAACCCCTGAACGCATAGTTAGACACTTGTTAAGTTACACCTGATTACAGGGGGAAAGAAACACTGTCGGACTTACGGAGTCATAAATCAGACAAAAAGAATGACAGGGAACAAAAAAGAAAGAGCTTCTAGCCCTTACTTTGGGGGAAAGAGCGAACGACTGGAGAGCAGAAAGAAAGAGAACAACCCCAGTGTCGCGTCAAAACAGACTCAGTCTCAGTCCTTTGGGCGATAGCGCCTCACACGGATGGGAAAGCAAGGCCAAGGGTTTTCCAGCACCCCGGCGAACCAAAAGTCAGACGTTGATATTAAAGTGCTTCATTTCCGTCCTATGCGCAGGCAGTAGGACCGGATAAGGGCGCAGACGTTTTAGAGTCGGACCAGTTCAGTCACAAGTGGAGTTGATCCAGCGCCAATAGCGCGGGGACAGGCACGGAAAGCCGTTTGTGATAATGCTGGCTACTATTAAGAGACCCAGCGCGCGATACCCAGCCTCCCACGTAAACATTGCATTTAACAGGTGGTTGACCAGCCAGACATCCTGAGCTGAAGCCGCTTCGTTTGGGCGACAGTCAAGGTGACGAATAGCATCCCCTACCACGGCCTACCAACCTCATATGCATGATCATTCCCTGGTTTTCCCTTCACCATTTCCAGTGTACGGAGTCTGCATGCAGACGGCAAGCGGAGTCCCATGAGTCGCAATGCCATGCTACCCAAGAGGGGACAGGGTAGGCGAGGGCCGTAGATTGGCTCGAAAATGAGGATACTGAATAACCGGAGAAGCTAAAAGCTGGGCGGGTCAGGACCCGACCTTGACTGTGCGCCAGGCCATTGGTCAGGAACGGAACGACCAAGAGGATGGCGGATGGACTAGGTCTCACCTTGAACAGGAGTACCGCTCCTCTACGGCCCTGGGATTTCAACATGAAACCGTCGACGAAGCTCCTCCCGTGTGCAGCAACCAATAAACGAGCCGAACAAGCGAGCGAGGCCTGGTCATTCAGCGCAGACCATCCGCGAGTCGCATACGATCCTGGCTCGGGTAGCTCCACTGTATATCAGCGCCTTCAAACTAACCGAGTCTCACGACCGTTATAGATTGGTGATAGTGACGAAGCGAGCAAACTCAACTCAATCAAAGCTGGCGATGGCGCCTTTTCCCGATTGAACATTCTTTCCCTCTCGACTTTCGGATTCGAAGGAAGGATACCCGTAAAGCCCAGCAATTGCGCCGGTTGTCAACTAGCACTCTTAGATCGTAGAACCCGTCTCGTTGTCCGTCGGGCAGAAAACTCATTGCGGTTTAGTGAGTGAGCCCCGGAGATTAAAAGCACAATAGTCGGAATACGGGAATAGATTAAGCGGGTAAATATCATATGAGGACCTGGACGGCCGGTGGGCGGGATAATAATAGTATCCTCCTATTTCGTTCATGGTCTGTGAGGGTAGTCTAGAAAATATGTGAGATGGTCAGGATACGAGATCCATCCGGAGGGTAAAAAATGAGAGGCAGAGTGGCAGCGAAGGGAGGGGAGGAGAGGAGGGAAGCCCTTTGGAAAGCGACTGGGATGCGAGGCTCAACGGCCAGCCATCCTGCAGCCACTCCTGCAACTGCAAGTCTGCAACAACAACAACCACCCCCGTTTCCACTCGAGAAAATGCCGACGTTTGTCTGACAGGGGAGTTCGTTGGTACCTTAATTCTTTTCCCATTCAATGCTTGGTCAATCTGTCGAAATCGCAAAAATTTGGTTCGGGCCATGAACAGAGTGGGTATGGTCTATGGGATGGTGTATCTAGTCTGTCAACAACTACTCCATCTTAACTATCCAGTCAGTTAGTATACCCGCCCATCTGGTAAGTAATAAATGCTCCCTGGTCAAATGCGCTGGACCTTCCAAGGCAGAAATAAAAATAGACTCTGGTGGAAATATGTACCGAGAGTGGATGCATCTGTTCTTCTATCCATATTGCTCTTCATTTATTTACTTATCAACTGCCGTAGCTTGCATGTAGTCTATTTATATGCACAAGTCAAGAATTTACAATATGGGAGTGGCTACTGCCTGAGGCACGATCCTGGCGACAGGCAGGAAACTGATCCCAGCTTGAGCCTTTCACATCGCTTCAATCACCACTACCATCACTACCACCACCACTACCTTACTTCTGGCGCATGGTGGCCTAGAAGAGGACCCTGCGAGCACCACCAGCCTCTCTCAAACCTGGCCCAGCTCATTCCGCACTCGACGAACTTCCTTCTCCACGATGCGCATCTCAACTATGACACTAGCGAGTTGGGGAAGGCGACTCTCAACGACTTCGGTGAAGGACTTTTGGGCGCTGCGAAGATAAGGGGGTACCAGGATCCCGTACCAGTGGATCGGGTCCGAAGAACGAAACTTCTTCTTTTTCGATCGCTTGGGCTTATCATCCGCATCGGGCTCTGTTTGGAGGGTCTCGGATGTGGTTGAGAGCTCACCAGCTTGGGTATCTCCCTCTTCGCGTTGTGGCCGATCTTCCTCAGGTGCATCGGCATCTGATTCGGGCTTCTCGTCCGTGTCGGATTCGTCCTCTGAATGTTGGACGGTAACTGATTCGATCCCAAATATACTGGAGTTGGAACCGCTATGTTCGGTGTCAGTCGGCGGTAAGTTGTCCTTCGTTGCGTAGCGTTCCTCAGCCAGGTTGGTAGGAGATTGTAGAGTCCTGATCGGGATGAAACCAGTTAGCACCGCGTCTTGGAATGGTACAAACATATACCGGACTCACACTCTTCTTGTCGCCTTCATGCGCTCATCATAGTAATCTGCCCCATAGTGTCGGCCCGGTGGACAAGTATAGTTGGCTTGGGCAAGAGAGAAAAACCCCTGGTGTTGTTCTCAGTATCGCTTACCGCAACAAAGCCTCAAGCTTGCTATGGCGAAGTGACTTACCGACGAGAGCTTCGACCCTAGTTCAGCTTGCAACTTCTGATGCTGATCTAAAAGGTGCAGATACCGCTCCAATAGATTGTCTAGCGACTGCAGCAAGTCCTCCGGGGCATCTGCTACAGGAGCTTGCTTGGGTTCGGAATCCGGAGCTGGTGAAGCTGAACGGGAAGCGGGCGGAGTAGGGATTTGCGCCATTGGGATCTGAAGGTGAACACAGCGAGCGATCTGCAGCGCATAGACACTTTGTCCAGCAAGAAAACAGTTCAATTGCGAGTGAAGGCTTCAACCGTGGTTGTTGGCGAAGAGCGGAGCCATTCTGGAAGCCGAGGGGAAGATCCCCCGTGGAGGTCGGCCGGCGAGTCCGATAACTCCGTCATCGCGCCTCCGAGCCCAAAAGCAAAAGAATTTCCCGGAGAGCCTGCCAGCGATTATCCCTTCAACGCTCCGCTTGCATCCCCATCCGGAAGCATCTGGTTTTCTTTATATATTCTGCTTGTCAGAATAACCTTATTACGACTCTTGCTGGGATAGAACCCCTGGTCTAGTTGACTGTTGAGGCGACTCGACTCTTGACCGGTACGCCACCTGCTTTGCGCTGTCCGAGGACATCTCAACCCTTCTGCGAAAAGCCTCTCGGAGTCGGACGTCCTCGGTAAAGACGACTCGGGCTGTTCCTCTTTGGGACTTGAAAAGCTAACGCGAATAGCATCGCCTAGCTGTACCCCCGCGTTAGCGGCCGAGCCGATTAGAAATCCAGGATCCCTGTATCTGGAATCGCTTTTGGCATCATCATCATCAACATCATCTTCAGCTTGTCTTATCTTTCCAGTTATACAAGGTTTATAATCGCATCTCTCCACTCAAATTCGCCCATCATGTCTGTGCCGACCATGCAGCGTGAAACGGCCTTTCAGGTCCGGTCTCTGGTATGCCCTCCCTGCTGAACCTAGATTGCGCGGAATCCCTCCCACACTCTTATCACGATGGCACTGGGGCTAACCAGTCATTTTATGCAGTTCCGCTCTTTGCTCCGTCAATCCTCCCAGTTCTCGAACTACAACTTCCGCGAGTATGCCCGCCGGCGCACGATGGATGCCTTCCGCGAGCACCAGAAAGAATCCGAGGACCGACGGATACAGGAGTTGATCCAGGATGGACTACAGAACTTGCGGATGATGAAGGTCAGTATATTCCTCGTATGGACATGATTAGATGTGCCCGCGTTTGTCTCTTTGATGCAGACCATGCGTTCTGAGTCAAAGCGGGGGTGGACGCTAGTGAACGAGCTGCTAATACTTTTACAGAGGCAAACCATTATCAGTCAGTTCTACCAGCTGGATCGGTTGGTTGTTGAGGGTCAGAAGACTGTGAGTATTTCATGGAGCCTGTCTGTGATTGCAATGAAGCTAATTAGTTATTAGGGTAAGCAGACTGGCACGGAAGGGAACATTGTTCGCCAGAAGGATACTGGGTAAGATGAACCCTTCGTTATCTAGTTTCATTGGAGGCCTTTGCTGACGTCTTTTTTAGCTGGGACTAAACGCCCAACGGGGATCATTTGTTTTTCGTAGCGAGAGTACGGAGTTGAGGGGAATCCAGCACCAATACGATATCAATATCATTTGGGGCCATTTGAGCCGATGGCCCGAAGATGAAGGAATAGCATAGATCGAAGGGTTCTGTATTTTTATTGAAAGCCACTGCGCTTTAGGTAGCGATTCTTACTCTTACGCACCTGGAATACCATTCTTCGCTCTCTATTAGCCCAATCCATTTTATCTTGAAACTGTAGTTGATGGCAGTCATGTTTATTCTATGTGAGGGTTCTGAGTGACCCCAGTCACGTGCGGGGGCGGCGGCGCGGCGTTTCGCTGAGCGATCGCATCGCGCTGCTCCGATTCACCATCACCTCCAAAACAGCCTCGCCCTCCCAAAGAGTCCCTTCTCTTACAATCCGGGCAAACCACACCCAGCTCCGTAGATTCACTGGGTGAGGGGCTCTCTGCCGTTATCCTGATTATTCTCCGAACAGTGAGACTGCAGGTCCGGCGCTCATCATGCCACCTACTGTAAGCTTGTTGCTGCGATCCGCGACCCCGACACCGACCCCCAGTTATCGATCCACTCACCATTGCACCGAAGCTTGCCAATGCGGTATAGAAAGATGCCATCGCTGATATGTACTGACAATCCTCCAGTTTAGATCATCTCGCTCTGGTCGCCAATTCGGCGATGGCGCCAACCGTAACAGAAGTCAGATCGATCACGATGTGTTCGAGGGGCTCCCTGTACGACGCTGGACACGTCAAACTCAGACTGTCTCGCAGGTCCCCAAGGCCGAAGGCACTGAAGCTGTCGTGCAGGGCCCCGGGGGGAAGTCAACCATTCCAGAACACCCAATGCCTCGAGACAGTCACCTGTTGAGCCCCATGAGCAGAGCCCTCCTGCGTGCGGCGCGAGCTGGATGCATCTACATCCGCCAAGCGTCAAAAGACTCCGAAGACGAAGAGAAAGAAGCGACCGACGGAGAGGAACAGCCACTTATCCAGAGCACCGAACGCAGCTTCGTCACGCGCAAGTGGTCCGCCGTACCGAGGCACCTCGAATCATCAGAAGTTGAATTCCTCGCCAAGCGACGACCGGGTTTACCCACTTTATACGGTGCTGCTGCTGCGACTACAGATGGAAATAATGCTCCTGCGCCGATGAGGAGGACCAAGTTCAAGAAGGTCGACCCGGCGACCGGAAATATCTCGATTTACGAAGCATGGGTACCGGAGGGACACAAGATAGAAGGAGAGATCACCGATGGAGCTCAAGTTGTAGCTGAAAACACCGCGGTCACCGTAACCCCTGAGGCGCCAGCGCCCGGTACGGTCATTGAGGGAGTTGGCGTTGTCAACGCTGAGGGTGTGGTGGTCGCAGATACAAACTCTGCAGCTGTCATGACTCCTCCGAAAAGACGGCCCCCTCCCCCAAAGCGCAAGGCGAAGGGCTTTGGAAAGGGGCGGAGAAAGAAGGTCATGTTTGCTCCAGGCGATGGCGCGGATGCCGCCACGGTTCATGGTGCCAATGGCTCCGGAGTGGATGGCGCTTCAGATTATGCCAAAGATGGGGATGCGTCACGCATGTCTGGTGATCAGAATGGACAGGAAGAGGACGACGAGGAGGGTGAGGAAGGCGATGAGAGCGACGAGGGTGATGAGTCTATGCTAGAGGCAAAGACTCCGGAAACTCCAGTTCCGCGCCCCAGCACTGAGCCGCCGACTGACTCGACGCCTGTGCCTGCACCGGCTCCGGCAACTGAACCAGTTGCCACAGCTGATGCGGCGCTGCCAACCCCTGAGGTTTCTTCAGCTGCTCCAGAATCACCCTCAGCACCGGCTCCAGCACCGGCTCCCGAGACAGCTCCAGAGCCAGCTGCAGAGCCAGCTGTCCCGCCCACTCAGCCAGAACAACCATCCGTCGCTGCTAAACCTCCTTCAGAATCTGCTGCTATCCAGCCCACATCGGAGGCTCCCGAGCAGACTAGCGAAGCGCCAGGACAGAAGGAAGACGTGGAGATGACCGAAGCTTACCCCTCAATACCTGGTTCTGAGGATAGCGTATCTGCAACCCCTCAGCCAGTTCCAGCTACTCAGCAACAGGAGCCAGCTCCTAGCGCTGAAGATGTTCCGGCGCCCCAGGAAGCCCCTCAACCTCCCGTTGCAGAAACATTGCCAGCTGCACCAGCTTCAGAGCAGCCTGTCGATAAACAGCCTGCAGATGAACCAGCACAGCCAGATAAGACAAGTACTGATACTGTTCATGATCAGAATATGGATACGACCATGGAGGATGTTGAGCCTCTCCCAGAAACCGCACAGGATCAAGCACCGGTGGAACAACCGGCGGAACAGCCGGTCGAGCAACCAACTTCCGAGCAACCGGCTCCTCAGCCTAGTGAGGCTGTTGCAGAGAGCAAGGAAATCGATCTGCTCGGTACGTTGGAAGCGAGTCTGAGCCAGCCACCGGGCGAAGAACAGGGTGACAACCAAGGGACGGACATCGAGATGGAAATGGATGCACCTCCCCACGTTGTGCAGCCTCCTGCTACGGAAACAGTTGAGCCCGTTGCGGATAAGGCCGCGGTGCCTGAGACGCAACCGGCAGAGGATACCACTGTGGCTGCAGAGACTGCCGTTGAACCAGCTGCAGCGGAACAAGGCGAACGGCCTACTGAACCACTCAACGAACAGCATACCGAGCAAGCATCCGAAGCTCCTGCACCGCAGGCCATCGAACAACTTTCCCAGGCTCCAACGGAGAAATTGGAAGAGCCGGCAGGCGAGCCGGTCGTGGAACAGCCTGTGAAGTCGGAATCACCTGCTCAGCCCGAGCAACCTACACAAGCAGAGCCACCTGTTCAGCCAGAACAGCCCAAGCAGGAGGAGCCTGTACAGGCAGTTGAACCTACACAATCAGAGCAGCCGGAACAACCTGGTCTACCTGCCCAGCCGGAACAGCCTGTGCAAGCGGAGCCTGTAGAGCCAGTTGAGTCCGTGCAGCCAGAGCAACCGGAGCAACCAGAAGAACCTCAGCAACCCGAGCAGCCTGTGCAACCAGCGCAGCAAGATCAACCCCAAGAGCAAGCCCCATCACAAGCTCCTGAGGAAGTTCCAACCGAGACTGCAGAGCCAACGCCCCAGACTGCAACCGAGCAGCAGCCCGAGCAGACCGAACAGACACAGACCAAGCAGGCGCCTGCTGAGCAACCATCAGAGCCCCAGGCAGATGAACCACCACAAGCACCAGAGGAACACGTTCCCGTTAACGCAGAGGAACCAGCCGCTCACAAGGTAGAAGAAGAAACGCCCCTCGTTTCACCTCAACAGCCAGAGGAAACCCAGCCACCCAAAGAACCTACGCCGCCCGCATTACCAGCTCCAGAGGAACCACAGCAACAGCCAGAGCCAGTACCGGCCCCCCAGCCTCCAGCTGAAGCACCCCCGGGCGATGAAAAACCAACCGAAGAAGCTCCAGCTGAAGCTGAATCTAAGGAGCTTGAACCTATCTCCGAACCCGAACCCACCCCAGCCGAAGCTCCCTCTGCACCTCCTGTCCCCGAGCCTAAGCCCGAGCAACCAGCCCAGGAGACGGCCCAACCCAAGGAGTCAGAGCAGCAGGAGCAACAAGAACACCAACAACCAGCTGATACCAACACAGCATGAGATATATCATGCCCATATCCAATAAAACATACAGGCGGAAAACGCTTAGAAAGACATACTAGTCTTTTCTTTCCAATTCTCCTTCTTTCCTTAGAACCAGAAATTCTTCTTTAAACCTACAGTTCAGGCGCAGCTAGGAAACGGTGCTATGGCGTGAAATCACGGGGACTCGGAATGATTTTTTTTTTTATCTATTTATCATGACTGTGGAATTATCATACACGGTATATGTATGGCTTGTGCCATTCGGCTGATCATTTTTATATTCCTTTTCTTTTTTTCTCTGTTATTGTATCATAGGGAAGTATATTTTTTTCTTCAAATTTCTCCTTATAAACCCGTTTCCTTTCACGTCTCTTGGTTGTTTAGTGTAGCGTATTAGTACTTTACATATAGCACAGTATACATTATTAGTAGTACATCGTTTAGTTTATCCCCCTTTCTCGAAATCAATCCCTGATGGTACTCAGCTAGTGATAATCGATAATATGAACTGAAGGAGACTCCACGGCGGTTCATCATTTCGCCTGGGTTGCTACTTCATTACAGAATCCACAAGTTATATATAGTACTAGTATAAACACTGGAACTTGAACAGCAGCAGCCTTACTACTACTACTACTACTTGTTAAATAAGATCCAGGAAAACCAGTTGGATCTAGTAATCACCGTAACCGAGATTCTCACTAAACGCTTCCTAGCTACTATTTCTCCCATAGCTAACACTGGCTGTGTTGTAGTAAGTACTAGGTACTCCGCGGACATCTAGTACTACTACTAACTGCAATTGGTTGTTCCATAGCACTTCTACAACTTACTGGTACTTATGTAATATATATAATAGTACTGAGAAATGGTCGGTTGAATGCTGGACTAGAAGATTGAAATTCCAGTACTTAAGAATTAAAATGCACAGCATGTAGTATAATTCCTTTGATGAAACCTGTGGATACTGGATACAAAAGTAGTGAACGGAAGGTTTAGATTAGATCACCCCGTCTGCGGAGTTATATTCCACCAGCGGTGTATGCCGCCGCGTCCACCCCCAACAACAGAATGATTTATTTACTAATCGGCAACAGTACCAATTTGTAGACTGTAGTAGTACATGTGTGCGCGCAACAGAATAATCTGGAATAAATAAATATCCTATTCTGACCAATCAATGAATTGAACAGGAATGCTACCAAGCTTGAAGTCAAAAACAGGGAAAACAGGCTAGCTACACAGTCAATCCATACAAGACATAACAAGCAAATCAAAGCCAAGGAGGAACATTCGCGCATCAAACATTTCGTCCTATTCCAAGCCTGCTTCGTGAATTGATATGATTTGATAGGGAAAAAAGGGTGAGAACAGGTGACCAGAAACATTACATCAAACATAACACTGGAGATGAGTGAGGATATAACGATAACAAAAGGGGGTGTTACAGTTCGAAGAGCGCCATCGTGATAAGTAGAAAAAGAAAAGTAAAAAGAAAAGAAAAATATAAAGGAAAATAAACAAATAAAGGCAGGTAAGCATAAAATAGCAAACCGAAGCATCCAGTAAATCCAGCAAGGATCAAGGGAAGCATAGTGAAATACCTACCTACCTACCTATCGCATTAGGGCCTAATAAGAGGGGGAAGCTGCCGAAATTATATCTCAAGAAAGGAAATAGAAGAGGAAAGAGAAACAAAAAGTGTCTGTGGGCCAGAAAGCAGGCCCAGAGAAGCCCAGAAGAAGGGAATAAAAAAGGGGTAATAAGTTGGAGTAAAAGTAAGTTTAAGCCAGAAGAGATAGATGGAGGATTCGGTTCACTACAGAAGAAAAGTGATCGTCCAAGATAATGTTGAAGGCTCTGAAGGACAAAAGTTGTCCTCATATGATCTTTGATATAGAGGCGCCATGAAGCAGCCTATATCGATGATCACTTTTTACTGCCTTTCGTGGCTGCAGTCCCCGTACGCTTTATCGCACCTTTGGACTTGGGCTCCTGTTTGGGTGCTTGCGTTTTCTTCTGAGCTTTAGGCGCGGTGGTCTTATGATCTGTCTTCGTATCATCCTTTTTCGTTGATTTCCTCCGTGGGTTTGTGCCTTTGGCCGCAGCGAGGATTTTCGCTTTGGTGGCTGCAGATGGGCGGCTTAATTTCGACGATGATGGAGCGGCATTCTGAGTCTTGCCTTTCGCGGTCTGTGCAGACTTTTTGGGCACTGTGGCCCGTGCCTTGACCTTCGTGGCTTTAACCTTAGGGAGTTTGATGTTACTCTTTCCTTTAGGTTCATCTTTCTTCGTTACCGTTTTCTTCGTCGGCGATCTCGTTGTCTTCGTGGCCTTCGCGGCCGTTCGCTTGGCCGGGCTGCCTTTCTCCTTCTTTGCCTGCTTTGTTCGAGAAGCAGTAGTTTTGGTGACGGTTGCACGCGCTCGAGAAACCGCCTTCTTGACGCCAGACTTGATTGACTTGGCTACCGCAAGTTTTTGTTTCTTGTTGGCGCGCGAAGATGATACGTCGAGCGCATCGCCAGACTTGCGCTTAGTGCCGGCTGTCTTACCATTTGTCCGTCTGCTGGCTGATTTTTTCGGTTTCTCCACCTTCTGCTCTTTCGCACGTTGAGCCTTCTCCTTGGGCCTCGGGCCCAGAATGCCACGGCAATTCGATGAGCCACATCTGCATTGCTGGACATTCTTCTGGGAATACGGGCTAAAACATAAGTTAGTAACCCTTCGTGGCTGCAGATCCGCAGAGTAACTCACTCAAAGTTGTAGTCATAGGTCAGTTCCTCACCCGTCATGATGCCACGATCGCCAGCAAAGAGAGCCATGCGCGGTTTTCCAGCGACAGTCCACTTCTCCATCCGACAGTTGGGCTCACAAGAGTGATTGACAAAGCGGGCAATGGAGCCCCGAGTGGCATCAATGATCATATTCTGATCAAAGTACATCAGATAGTAGCACTGGAGCGTCATTAGCAATGCAGTCATGAAGAAACCGTAATTGGGACCAACCGACCTCGTTATGCTTGTAGATCGTCCGCATTCGTTTCTCACACTCCGTCTGAGTGATAATCTCACCCGTGTACTCCACAATGATCTGGTTGGGCTCAAAGGTGCGGTTACTCCGAACACCGTACCCACGATCGGCCGTCTTGATGACTTCCACGCCGATGTTGTACTTGCCTCCAGCCTTGGTCCTTTGCTTAAGCTCCTCGAAACTGCGGTTGCCACACTCCTCACCCACTCCGCAATTACCTTCATCACACTCGTAGAACATGTAACGGTTCTGACATTCCTCGTCGCAGCCCGTTTCTGGCGTGCACATGCACTTGGAAAGCTCACAGTGCTTGTTTGCCCGCCATATACTGCCGGCCTCTCCCACAAATACGTCTAGAACCCGTGTTAGCCATGGCCATTTCATCAGTCATGCACAGATAATACTCACTCTTGTTGGTCTTTCTCCACTCATCAGGTTTGGGTTGACCGGGAGGCAGCGGCGAGAAGACGTCGAAAGGCAGTTGAAAATCGCGTCCATTCTTCAAGAGTCGGTCGCCTGCAAACATAGGCAATGGCAGCAGTTTCCGTTGCGACTGAGTCTGAGACTGAGTTTGACTCTTCCGCCTGCTCCTATTCCGGCTTTGAACCGGCGGAGAGTCGGTATGTTCTTGTCCGGTGTAAAGACCATGCGCCAGCCAAAGCTTCCGCTTCAAGCGCGGGACTGGTTCAGCTGGGGCGGATTGCTCCTGCGGCGGCTCCTCCGTAGACTGAGTCTTGGACGGGAGATCACTTTCTGAGACCCGTCTCTTTTTGGGAGCTGGCGCACTCGGCGTAGGCGCGGGGGGTTCTTCCTTGAGAGCGGCGACGTTTCGCGGCCGTAGACTGGCACGTCGATCCGGACCACTGCTCTTTTCTACCTTATCACGCGAGCGTTTGCCCAAAACGCTGCTAGCCCGACCAACCAGGTCAGAAGCCTTGTCGAGTATACTTAATCGGGTTGACCGACGTAGTGACTTGCGACGTTCAGGTTTGGCAGGCGCAGAAACCTTTTCTTGGTCCTTGTTGTCTTCCTGGGTCAACACCTTTTCCACGCGCTTTCGTAACGTCCGTTGTTGTAGCGACATGCCGATGTCGTTGGGTTGCGGTTCCTGAGACGATTTGGAGACGGGGGTATCTGGCGCCATTGGGTGGTCGTCACCGTCCTCCTTATTCTGCGGGAGTGTTGTCTCGCTCCATAAGGCAGTTTCCATGACCGCTATGCTGTGCCGGAGGTGGGAGGAGGACTTGGACCTCGTCCTCTTCACCTCCGCAGCCTCGACCGCACTGGCCAGGACGTCACCGGAGACCGTACGATCACTTTCATCCGCCGGAGAAGGTAATCCATGATTATCCGCGTCCAAATGGTCACTGAGCTGGACTGCCCCTCGTAAAGAAGCGCGTGTTACACGTGTAGATCGTCGGCGGAGGGTGGGTTTCTCGTCGGTGGACGCGTTATCGTTGTTGCTGGAGGTTTCGGAGCGACTATTTTCGGGGGTGAGGAGTTGTTCGGTATATTCGAAGGCCATTGTGCCCTCGAGGTGCTCGTGCGTGTGTTTCTTGAGGTCCGAAAGGGTTGCGGGAGTCGCGGGAGACGCGCCGGGAGAACCAGGTCGACCTTCCATCCCCAAGGGCTGCGGGTAAAGGATATGCGGTGAGAACTAGGTTTTGGTACGAGGGGCAGGACCACCAAACAGCTCGGGATAAGTTGATGTTTCCAGGGATGGATTGCTAGAAATTAACGCGGGGGGGTGGTGGTTGTCAACTTCCGAGGGTGTGGCTGACCTGGCGTGCTGCCAATGTTGCGGGGGGAGGGAAGTGGGAAAGGTGGTCAGTGGTTCTTTCTCCTTAACCAGGAGGAGGAGACAGATATCGGTGGTGAGCCTTATACCTCCTCACTCTTCATATCTTAACCCCGGAAGCGGGATGGACGGCGTGAAAAAGCCGACGCAGAGAAGGTGTCTGAATGCTTAACCGGGGTTGAGGAGAAGGTCATGGACAAGGAATGGGGGAGGAGAAAGCAGGGGAGGGAAGAGGAGGAGGAAGAGGAAGCGAAGAGAGAGAGAGGGAGGGAGAGAGTGCGGAGAGAGAAAGACAGAGAGAGAGGGTCGAGGAGAGCCGTAGTATCGTCAGCAACACCCCCCGACGACGGCGCCGCGGAATGCAGTCAGAACCAGTGCCAGACATTAAGTAGATCCCCTCGTCTCTTTGTCGAACCCCCTCCGTTTCATCTTCAACCTCTTCCTCTTCTCCGGTCCTGACCAGGATTCCCAACTGGTGACAAGCCCCAGCTTTGTCCCTCTTCCAACCCCCGCCTCGCGCATCTCAAGAGACAGGCCTCCTACACCCGGACAATTCTTTTGCATCTACTATGAGGCATATAATCGCCATTCTCGGGTTTTCCGGGCTCACCTCGTCCGGTTACTACGCTTCTTTGGCGCCAACGGCTATCTATTTCGGATCTCCTTGGTCTATCTCTGGTCCAGTATCTGCATATTGTACATAGCCCTAAATCGTCCCCCGATATCATGTTTCACCTGATCTGCCGCAACAGCATCATCATCAACAACAACAGACAGACACTCAATGGACACACGTGTATATATAGTAGTAGATGGGGAAAAAATATGGAATAAAGGAAAAGAAAAAAGAATATCGTGAAGAGAACGTAGCCAACGGCTGCTTCATACGTGCAACTCGCTCGAAAATCAAGACATGAACAGAAAGTAGGGTGGGGTATGTCAACGTATATGCGGTGAGCCCAATTGGTTCAATGAAAGAATGGCAATGAGGTGGTAACACCCATTAAGATCTTACTATCTTTGGAAAAATGGTGATGAAGAAGCAAAGAAGAAGGAATGGCCCCGCAGGGAGCAAGAAGGAAAATTCATACGGAAATGGAGATGGGGTGGAGCAGCGAGAGCAAACCGGCACCATCACCACTCACTCTTGGGGTTGAGAGGGAGGAGGCACTTGTTGCATCTCAATGTCATTTTGAGGCTCGACATTTCGAGGGAGATACTTGCGCTTCATCGTGCTCAGGCGCTGGTCCCCTTCCTGATAAGGCTGCTTGAACTGCATATACGTTGGGGGCCGTGGCCGTAGGAAAACGGACAACCAGTTCCGGAAGACATTGCCTTGAGTGAAGGGCCGATGGCGGTCGGCTTTCGCAAACTTGTGCGAGTTCAAATATTCTCGGGTGGTCTCGCCCCGACCGACCAGGAAGAGATGGTAGGCCCATAACGAGGCCGGGTATGGTGCGGCAACCGCACCGTAGATCACCATGGCCCAGGGAACTCTCCATTTATCGATGGCTGTGCCGAAGCTGACATGCTCTCGTGATTTATACACCAAAATGTGTGCGAGACTGGCACCAAGCAAGAACAGAGCAAGGAGGGTGGAGGATGCCACAAATGTGAAGAAGTACCGGTAGTTACGGCGACCAACGCAGTTGTTGAGCCACACACAGTGATGGTCAAGAGTCTCAACACAGTTGTCGCATACACGGCAATGATAGCAGCGAGGCGGACGCCATATACAACAGGTCTTGCAGTACTTCACAGGCACGTCCATGGCTGCAACGTCGGATGTCGCCAGCTTCACCATCACCCAGTCGTTGGTTGGAGGGCCAATTGCCAATGGATCATCTGCGGGATCCGGGGGTGGCAGCTGATGAAGGTTGCGAGGAATGATCTAGAGCGGATCTGTTAGAAATTGATGATGCATTGTCTTGCTTGAATCTGTCTTACCCCAGGATCGACGACGGAAGCATGTATGAATGACGAGAAGCACAAGTAGAAAAGATACGCGAACAAAATGGGAAGGGCGGGCGAGATGTTGTGCCAGAGCCAAGGACCCCTATGTACTGTTAGCTACTCGAACGCA